ACCTGTATCTGCCTCACCATTCCACTAGAGAGATGGCAGACTGGAGTGAGCTGCTGTACGCCAAGGCTCTGGGTTCAAGGCCATGGCCTGGTGGGAGAGGAGGGGGTATCCTTCTGGGGGTTGGGGGCTGAAAATATGGTGGCACCAAAGTGGGAGAAGAAAAGCAAAGCCTCAGGGCTGAGCTTTCCCAGCCTGGTGCTGTGCTCTGAATGTGCACAGACATTTAGTTTGATCAGTCTAACCGTGCCTGATCTAAATTAGTGCATCTCTCAGGTGAACTAAAATTAGATTGGGGCAGCCATTTCTTAACCATTCTAACCTTTAGGGAATATCTATACAGTTTGGCACGTGGATGGACCTAACTAGGGATCTAAGTGTAAGGTCTGCAAGTGAGTGAACTAAGTTAGGTTGGGCGGCGATTTTTCCCCCGGTCTAACCTTCCAAAAGTTTGTATACAAGCTAAACAAGCATAACCAGTGTCAGTGTTTCTCAAGCATCCTCTTAATTTTTAAGCACAGAAAATTATTCATAATTAATAATTAATTTGTATCATTTCTTTGTATAGATTAAGGTTCAAAATGACTTTGATAAATTGAAAAAATGGTCAGAAGTAAATGGAATGAAATTCAGTAAAGACAAGTCTACTTGATTAGGAGGGAAAAACCAAGTGCATAAATCCAAATAGGGAACAACTGACTAGGCTGCAGTACTGCAGAGAAGGACCTGGGAGTTATCCCTTATTCTCAACATTGTAATTACTGCAAAATACAAATAAATAATATTGTTTAATTGACAATAAAAATAAAACAAATATTACACTAGGATGCACTAAGATGACTACAGACTGCAAATCATGGAAAGTGATTCTTCTATTCTATTGAACACTGAAGTACTGTGTCCAGTTTGGGCAATATACTTTAAGAAAAATGCAGAAAAACTGGAGAGCGCCTAGAAGACAGCAACAAAAAAAATTAGTGATCCAGAAAACATGACATGATGAAATTTAGAATAAGGGAGATTATTCAATCTGAAGAATAGAAGACTTGATAACAGTCTTCAAATACAGGAAGCATTGTTAGAGCAGTGTGATCAATTGTTCTCCATGGCCACAGGATCAGAACAAGAAGAAAGGGGCTTAAATTGCAAAAAGGGAGATTTATGTTAGATATTATGAAGAACTGTCTAATCATCAGGTGGTTAAACCCTGAAATAAGTTCCTTAAAGAGGTTGTGGAATTTCCATCATTGAATGCCTTTGAGGGTTAGACAAACATTTGTCTAGGACAGTTTAGACAGAGATGATCCTGTCCTGGCCAGGGTTCTGGACTATATGACCTTGTGAAGTCCAGGCTTATTTTTCTATGATTCTCCAGTGGCATCCAAAATATTTAAGTGCTAGGTACTTCACCAAGACAAATCTAAGTATATACCAAAGCAGCTACACTCTAACAGCGGGCAATTATTTTGGGCAGAGAGTCGCTTACTGAGTTTTGGCAAGCCATTGATGGCCGCATGACAGGCAGCTGAGGGCAGATTAATATTAATTTTTCTAAATTGTTTAGGGGCCCCGCAGGCCAGACAGAATGGCTTGGCAGGCCGCATCTGGCCCGTGGGCCGCATTTTGCCCACCCCTGCTCTAAATACTGATACTCAATAGGGGTGTGCGAAACGGGCTCTATTTGATTCAGATTCAACCTGAATCAGGGACAGTGATTCGATTCATTGATTCAATCACTGTCCACAATTCGATTCAGCCAAATCCAAATCTGAAGATTTGATGCTGATTTGGAGAATCAGTGATTCAGCCATAGACAGAGCTTTAAATGTTTTTTCTACATACCTTGAGGTACCAGGCGTGGCTTGTGAATACTGTGATGGTGGGGCAGATGGAGCGTCCCATGAAAATTGGCCACAGAGGGACCCTGGGTGTCCCCCCAGACCCAGGAGGCACTAGTCGTTGAGCCGGGCAGGCACAGAGAGGGCCCCCCTGCGCACTCCCCGGTGGACCCAGAAGTGCTTCTGGTCCATTTCTGGGTCTGCTGCCAAGCATGCTAGGGAGCCCCCTGCACTCCTGTGGGATGCTCCATCCACCCCAGCATTGCAGCGTTCACAAGCCGTGCCTGGTACCTCAAGGTATGTAGAAAAACATTTAAAGCTGTGTCTATGTTTAGACACAGCTTTAAATGTGTGTCTAAATCTGAATCTTTCTGAATCTCTCCAATTCAATTCAGAGAGATTAAAGGGTCTCCTGATTCAATTCAAATTCAGAGATTTGGCCACCGAATTGGGCTGAATCTCTGCTGAATCAAATCAGTGACCGGAGCTTCGCACAACCTTAATACTCAACTGGTGGGCCATAGACCACTGGAGGGCCACAGACACAGATCCAAGAGGAACCAGAGGGTTGGCTGCCCGCCTGGAGGGGACCTTAAGTGCCAGGCAGAGTCACTTGCTGAACAGGAAAGTGGCACAGTTGTGACTATTCTGCTTCCACAGGCACACTGCTTCTGTTCCAGAGCTGCTGCGTGTAGACCTGCTTGGCGTGCCTGGCGAACTTTCCTTGAGTTAGCTAACCTGTGGAGCTGTGCATGGGTTTGCACAGTGGTTGGCTAAGGGACATTAGGTGGGGCTAGGGCCCAGGTGGACTTTGGGACTGTGTGAGGGGGCCTGAAAATGGACTACAGGACTGCATATGGGGTTGGGAGAAAGGTGAGTCCACATGGTTGTGTGGGGGGAAGTTGAAGGGTCAAAATGGTTTAGAACTACTGATCTACAACATTTTTCATATGGATAAAATAACTGGCCTCAAACTTGCCCTAAGTACCTTAAAACGTTTAGTTAACCTGTTTTTTTCTATGTTTAACTGCCCCTCCACTTCTTGTTTTCAGTCAAGACTGGAAACAGAACTACTGAAATATCAGGGAAACAATTGTCACTGAATTAGGAGGACTAAATATAGATGCACTTCAGATGAGTGTCAGAATGTTGTTGCTTAACTGAGAAAATTTCATTTTTTTGAGGTTTCTCTACCTGTAACATTGCATTTTAAATAGGCGCCATCTATACTAATAATGCTAGAATGAATTGGTATTATAAGAACTTTGACTTTCAACTTTACTTTCTCAATAAGACTATTGTGTCAATAGATACACACACATGCAACTATATAAAATAGTCTCAATAGATACAGACACATGCAACCATATAAAATACTTGTGTAATTTAAGAATATTTTATTTTCTATTACCATACCTTTTCCTCTAATTCTTTTATTTGTCTTTTTTGACCTTCAATTCTTTCTTCTAGCTCCTTAATTCTCTGTTAGATTTAAAACAAAAAATGAAAGTGTAAGTAATAAAGCCTCACAAAGATGAAAGAGTTGGAAGGGGTCTCTTATTTTTTAGAGAGATGGTAAATTGTTTTGTTAACCGATACGTGTTTTAATTTTAGGTGTGTCCTCATCCAGTGCAACAGTTGTGCATCATGCATTAAGTAGACATAGAAAATACATAGAGCCCATAATGAGGGACTATCCAAGGTAAATTAGGATCTGGACCAAAAACTAAAGCCTGTGGTTCTCTAAATTTCTTAAGGAACATGGATATGTTGCTCCCATGAAGATTAATGAAAACTTTGTGCCCAACACCATAGGCAACTCCAAAAATATCATCCTAGGCTTTTAATATTATCTGGACATATGCTGGCTTTCTGTTAAAGGAAACTGAACATCAACCTCTGGAAACACTTGGTTAATAACAGCTGGAATATATACTTCACTTTAATCAAAGAGAGAGAGGCAGCCAAATATAAAGGGACAGAGCTCTCATTTCATGATGTTTTAATCTGGGGAAGGCAAACAGAGCATTAACTATTGTATATCTTGTACCAATGTCTACCTGTTGTGCATGTTGAATGAGTTCCATTCTTTCACGCAGAATCTGGGCATCCCTCTCTCGGAGTTCACTCATAACCTGGCGTTTCCATTGTTCTACAGCACTCTTCAACTTGTCTTTCTCCTCTTGTGAAAGAATTTCAGAGATTTTGGCTCCGGCTTCTTGCTGCAGGGCATCATAGAGCATGGCTTCTAATTCCAGAATTTGCTAGTCAAAAACAATACAAGGTTGTCAGCTTATCCTTTTCTCTTACCGGTGGTGGAGGACAGCTATTGAGAACATGTTTTGTCCCAAACTGTACAGAAAACGATACAAGGAAAGACTAGGTGCTGGATGTCCTGAAATCACATCATGGAAGGCACAGTCCACTGTGAAAAGTACAAAGGTTCTTTCAAGCCTCCTTTATGCTGCCTGGACTTTGGACTTCTGTGACAGCTGAAAACACCCCTGGTATAAGTGGGAGCTGAGCCAAGGGCACACAGATGGCTAGAATGGCCTCAGTGCAGCCTAGAATTTGATCATACTATGCAGGCATGCCTAATTTCTTGTCCTCAACTAGCAAAGAGCAACTAGTAGACAGCCTCCTGCACTGCCCCCTGTACTTCTGAGAAATGCCATGTCACCTCATGTCTCCTGTATTTACCTTACGTGCTGATGGACTGATTTCAAAGACCTAGAATCAACTCCTCAGTGTGTTTATGAAATAAGAATTTACATTCCATTTCTTAACAGTGTAAAGGGTATAGGAGTATATTCCATAACCATGTGGCATAAAACTGCCCCACTGACATTATGAAATTTCAGCATACAAATTTTATAGATATTATGGCCTAAATATAAGGAAAAACAAAGAAACAAAGGTACAAGTGAGGTATATAGTGCAAGCTATGTTCCATTTGAGTACATACTTGAAATCAATGGGAATTTTACAAATATTGCCCAATCATACCAATACTGTAATAACAAGCAATGGCAACAACTTCCTTTATAGGACATGGTTGGATCAACTTTCATCTAATTCAGTTTGCCTACTCTGCAATATGAGAACAATCTCTTTCAGACACCAATTGTGGTAATCACCAGGGATTCAGAAAGTAGGAAGGGTGAGAAGGATTAAATGAATCAAGAAGTCAGGGATGATCCTGCCTTGAGTAGGGGGCTGGCCTAGCCCTAGATGACCTTGTGACGTCTCTTCCAGCTCTACTTTTCTATGATCCTAGGATTCTAAATCCATGATGGCTGCTGTGCATAGACAGCCGCACTCCTCATATACCATCAGAATCATGGTTTCATAGTAGCTAGGGTCAGGAGGGACCTGAACAGATCATCTAGCCTGACCCCCTGCCACAGGCAGGAATGAATGCTGGGTTCACAAGACCCCAGACAGGTGATCATCCAACCTGCTCTTGAATTTGCCCAAGGTAGGGGTGAGGACCACTTCCCTGGGTACTTGGTTCCAGCTTTTGGCCACCCTAACTGTAAAATATTGCCTGCTGATCTCTAACCTAAATCTATTCTCCATCAGCTTATTACCATTGTTCCTTGTCACCCCAGGTGGTGCTGGGGAGAAAAGGGTGTCTA